GAGGACAGGGATCAGCGCTGTTTATTTTGGTTCTTATTTAACGCACTGAGGGGAAACGCCCATTGATGGACTTAATAGAAGCTCATAGTGCTAACAGGTAAACCAGTCAAGCGTCATTTTATGGGTGTCAGAGGACCTGATCTCTGATCTGTGTAAGCAGGATAGAAATACATAGGAAGGACTGAAGCTGAGAACATATCATGGAACATAAACTTTACTGCTTCACAGCTTTGTGTTGTTGTTGTTTTTTTTAAGAGTGCGTAATTGCGCGTTTCAAGCTGTTTAATTTGGCCTTTGCTCATTTATTTAAAGCTCTCTATTTTTCTGCAGCAATATTTAAAATAGGTGTGGGTTTTAAAATGTATTTGAAGACGATCTGCGGATTAAAAGACTTGTTTTTCACCATAATTTGCAGCTGCTAGAGTAACTGCACACATTGCTTCACCAAAAAGGCTTATAAAAAAAATGCTCCTCTGTTATTTTCATTTTTGATACATAAATTAAATTAACATTTCAACACGCGTAGCCCAAGTTAATTGCAATTAATTTAAAGTAATCAGATTTGAATGTGCTCCATATCTTATTAGCCTTTAGGGGATGAGTTACAGACAGCATCCATGCTGGAAATGAGCTGTTTTGGAAACATATACGACTCCATAATGATTTTCTGCTCGAGGAGAGTTAATAGGCCCTTACATTCTTGTGTGTAAACGCCATTGTTATTCTTCGCTTATCTGTGTTATCTTAATCTGCTCGCATTGTTTGCCTATCTTATTTGAAATAGCTCAATTACAAATCTATAATCTGCCTTTTGTCATTCAAACTTCCGATTAATACACTGGCCGTGCCCTTAAAACCAGATCTGCTGCATGCTCACAGTGTAAATATCAAAAATTCACATTACTGCGTCCAGTTTGTTAAAATAATACACCGAGAGAGGAAAATCGTTAAACGAGGATAATTCGGTTTGATTCAAAAGAAAATCGATTCCGAGAATTAAATATAAAGTCTCTTGTCACTGATAATATATCTTCCTTTTTTGTCTATATTCATTTGAAATTCTCCTAAATCAGAAAAGCTGCATCGATTATTACGAGGGAAACAGTTTCACGTGGTAATTTTTGGAACACATGGAGGATATTTAGGACTAAATAGTGACGCAAAATATGAACAGCAGGATATATTGAAATGCACATCTGGGGAGAAAAAAAGGAGTTGATCCGTGTGTACATGGTAGCTTTGTTTTGTAAAGGAGGTCAGTGCATTTAGTCTGAGCTGTCATCTCGGCTGACCCGTGCGCAATAACGCAATTCAGTGAAGGAAAATAAACCGAGGAGGAGAAGTGACCCTTTACGAGCTGCTCTCTGCTCCCCTCAGTTACGAGGGGCTTTGCTCAGTCTATGTGTGTGTGTGTGTGTGTGTGTGTCTAAGGTTGGGGGGTGTTTAGTTTGTTGTGGCTTCAGTCAGTGTATTGCTTGCAGGTGATGCCAGGACTAGATAAGAGGTCGCCGATCCCTGCGCGCTGTCTAGACCAGCTTGTGACTCAACCAGAGTAACTGGACTGAGCACAATTTACAGCAGATTTTTGCCCCCAAGATAGTAAATGACCACTGGCCGATTCCTGCTGCATAACCGAAGGGGAATCCACGGCAAAGATGGAGGAGGCAGATAAGACAACAGAGCTCGTAGGCTTCAATTCAGGAAGGCCAACTTCATTTAGGTTAAACGGGACAAACAGCATTGCAGCGAAACTGAAGTGAAAGCCTGTATTACAGATGTTTTTTTAAAGGAATCTTTTCCTCAAACACGGTCCTAGAATGCGCTCTGTATTTGTTGCGCGTTTGCCCAAATCAGAAATTAGTAGCTGTCAGGAGGAGTAAAAATCTGTTCTGGGCTGCACCAGAAATGTTTATACGCCAAGAAAAATACATCAATCCTCTTATTTCAGAGCTGATTATTTAAATAATTTAAATAATATTAGCTTGTAAAATGAAAAAATAAAAATAAAAGAGATTAAGAGCTTCAAAGCTGCGCCTGCGCAAAGATTGGTCACGAAGACAAAATTACGTATTCATTTTTTTTTATTTTTTAGCAGTTAATAATTCCTTAACGAATCGCTTTCCTAACAATAAATAATATAACAATAATTTACTTTTTTTTTTTGTTCGAGAAGCTCAAACAACCTGTATCCTGCCCTTAAGATAAAGTATTTTACAACACCAATACTTTGCAGATTATCATGCTCTGACCTTAAGACAAAGAGTCAAACTGGACTCGACAAATAAATGTATCAAAAAATGTTCTCATGTTGAAGAAACAAGACACAATATGATCACAATGAAACTGCAGAACGTCCGTCATGGAAACGTTTCCAATTTGTTTATCTGGAGGGGGGAGGAAGGTTTCTTGTAGTATATCCATCTGGAGATCTTCTGTACATTTTTCTTCCATCGCATAGAGTCATGCAACAATTGTTCTGCTAAGTGTTTTATTTTTGTTTTGTTTTTGAAATCTCCCAAAAAAATAAAAAATAGAGGGGAAAAAAAAAGAAAAACAACTCGGGGTCAGTCGGTGCTTTCTTGGTTCCATCTCCTCCAATGTCAGGAAATAAAGAAAACGCTCTCCTCTCTGTAGTCTGGGCGATGTGATGAGCTGGTCTCATGCAGGGGACCGGGATCATGCTGCAACTGTCCTTGCAGGAAGAGGAGGAGGTCTGTGTGTGTTGGGTTGGGGGGTGGGGGGGCCCAGTTTCACGTCTCCACCGGACTCGGTACCATACTGTTCGGGGTGTCCGGTAACTGAGAGGACAAAGAAGTCACGTCGCTGCCCGAGGAGTTCCCGAGAGAGCCCGATTCAGAGAAAGACACCTGAAGAGCGGGAGACAGAGTGTCAGAATGTCCGTCTGCACGTCTGCATTCACCCATGCAACAAAATCATCACATGTGCATATGTGTGTGTGTGTGTGTTTGCGTGCAAGTGTGTCCTGTTTGCAGTATGCATGTGTGTTTTTGTTGTTGTTGTTTTTTGTTGACTCAGTCTGTCCTGAACACACACACCAGTTGTTGGAAGGCCGGCTGGTCCAGGTCGCTCTGCAGCGCGAATTCACTCAGGGCTTTCCACGGAGGCTGGTAGGTCTGAACCTCCACCGGGTTCCCCTGCACGGTGCTCTCATGTCGGATGGGACTCCCCGCCACCAGAGGCGTCCCCGTGAGGCCCTGAAGGTTCTGTGGAAATGTCACAGGAGCAGACATCATGAGCGTAATTTGTCTTCTGCAAGTAAAAGCGTCAATCTGACAGCGTTCAAAGAAGTGTGGAAAAACAGGTTAGTGTGTCCTTCTGAACCCAGCGCATGTGCTTTCATATTTTAGTGGCATTTATGGCGGATGCAAAAAAAAAAAAAGTAATGAGGAGAGTAGTTTTTTTCCCCACCCAGCAAAGTGTATTTTGGAGGGGAGCACAGATTGATCTCCATGATGTTGATGCAAATCGAGCCTTTTTTTTTTTTTTACCTCTCAGGTCAAGCAACTGAAGCCAAAGCAGTTGATCCATTATTCATTGACTTAAAGTTTGAATACAGCATAGCACTGGAGCTATAACTGGAAAGGTTCCACTGCGCCTCAGTGCAGGAAAAGTCATTTTACAAAAGACTAAATTGTAGAGAAAAAAAAAGAGAATCAAACTGAAACCTGCAAACCTATTAACTAGTCATCCACCACCAATATAAACAGATATAAATCATATTTGCGTTAAAAGAAAAACGAAACTCTAACATCATGTTCATATGGCTCCCATCTGTTTCCCCATTTACTGCATTTCAGAGAGATTCATGCCAGCTTCAAACACACACAGAACAGGGTTCACATCCAGCACTGCTCATGTTTTTTTTTTCCCACACAAAAATCAAATAAATGAAGAATTGTAGAGAGTAATCAAGTGGTCAAACTTACGAAGATGCTTACAGTCTTATCACTGTGCTGCTGCTGCTGGAGCTGCTTCATGAGGATGGATTTTTTTTTGTCTTTGCAACGCTTGTTCTGGAACCAGACGCGGATCACTCTGGGGCTCAGGCCGGTCATCTCCACCAGCTGCTCCTTCATCAGCGCGTCCGGCCTCGGGTTGGCGTTGTAGCAGGTCCGCAACGTGTGGAGCTGCTTCTCGTTCAGCACCGTCCGGACCCGCGTCGTCTTCTCCGACTGCTTGTGGACGTGGTTCCGATGCGGGGCCTGCCGCACCGTCACCGGGTCTGCTGAGGAAGGAGGGAGGAACACGGCTGTCAGAAGCTGCCACGCACCACGAAGGCCTCAGAGATCCAGTCATATTTTTTTATATATTTTTCTATATATATATTTTTTACAGCGCATTAGACTCACTCTGCGCTGTTTTGCCTTTTATATGCTGTTGGATGTTTTGGTTTTACGCATGAAAAGCCAACTCTACTCCTCAGTCTAACATGACTATTTTTATTGGATAAATCTGCAGTATTTTAAACCATAAGCAAGGGAATCAAACATTTTGGCAACACTTTCTTTTCTCTAGAGGAAAAAAATAATTTGATTTCAATTCTAAGTTTTTCTGTGTGGAAATAAAAACGAACATTTTGATGCGTAAAACAGTATTTAGCCTTAAACTTATAATTCAACGTTTTTCGAGGCTGCACTTTATGACTTAGCCACTCGTGTTCTGCATTGTTGTCAGTTGTCAGCCTACAGGGCCTAATAATCCTTATCACCATGTTATTTTTTATTAAATCTGACAAACGCTGTTGAAATATGAAATCAGGCTGGTGTTGGTGCTCGGAGCCCGAGTCCCTGCCTCGGTCTGTCTGCGTAGAAGTAGGAAGCTGCTTAACATTATTCACACATTTACTTTATTTTCTTTCTGTTGGCAGACGCCCTCAGAATGACTTTCTACACACTACACACAC